CTCAGGAGGTCTGGGTGGCTCAGTCTGACTCTTGATTGTGGCTCAGGTCATTGTCTTATAGTTTATGGGTTCAAGCCCAGCGTCCTGCTCTATGCTGGGGGTGCAGTGCCTGTTTGGGATTCATTCTCTCTCCCTCCCTCCACCCATCCCCAGCTCTCTCTCTTTCTCTCTCAAAATAAATAAATTAGAAAAGAAAGAAAAGACTCTTTTTAAAAAAAACAAGGAGCAGATGGATTAAAAAGAGGTCATTATGCGGTAGAAACACCAGAATTCAGCCACTGGTGAGATGTAAGGCAGTGAGGGAGAAGGTTCATGTCCAGGTTTTTAGCCTGGGAAACTAGACTGATCGATATTTATGCCCTTCATTGTTGCCCCTTACCTGTACTATTCGTTTTAGTAATTCATTATATATATACACTATTATCTGTTATTAACTAATTCAAGGATACTAACTTTATTTCTTCTGTGCTCCTCATAGAATCTGACACAGCGCTGGACGCAGAGTTCCCCCGTTCAGCACAATGTCGAGTTTATTTAAATTAATCGAATAAAACAGTAATATAGAGAACCCCACTAAAGGGACAATACAGAAGTACCAAATTATATATACATAGAAGTTTTTCCTAATTTCTCTGATGTAATCCCTTTGTTCGTGTACGTGATTTATTTCTCCTCCTCGCCCCCCTCCCCCCGGAGTACAGACAGTATGTCTCTCCTATAACCAGTCCAGAGCTTAGCATAGTACTTTGTAGGAATGGCAGACATTTCAAAGCATTTTTTTGGGCATGTGTCAAACACCATGCTAAGTGCTTTGCCTGAATTACCTTGTTTATCCTCACAGAAACTGTTGTGCGGGACTATTTTAATCCCCATTGGTGAGTGCAACCTGTGGATGAGAAAACCAAGACTCTGAGGTTTGCCCAGGGCATACAGCTTGTAACTGAGGTCCCTCAATTTCAGACAGAATGTAAAGTCTTTATCATTACCTGTGCTGCATGTAAGGAGACTGGTAGGGAAGGTACTTGTTTTCTAGCCAGGGACTTAGATTAAGTTGTACTGAAACGTGTGAAGTTAAGCTTGCTTCTTGGCAGTACGTATTGACAGTGACATTTTGTATCCTGAAAAAAATCTGAGTATTTCCAGAAAAGGAATCTCCTGACCATTATCCAAATACTCAGGAGTATGGCCACTTGTTCACGAACATTTTCTGTCCCTGTCTTTGGCCTTTCCTAACATAGAAAGATGTCCTTGTAGCCAGGAGGGCCATTGGCAGGGTTGAAGGCAAGGAGGGAATGATGGTTGAAGTGCCAGGGAAGGAGGACCTGCAGAAGATACAGAACGGCTAGAAAGAGAGGAAATAGCAGTCTGTGTTTTAGTTGTATCCCTTTTAAGCTCACAGAAATTCATTATAATTAGGTGAGGCCATCTAGCTTTTTAAAATTTATTTTGAGACAAAGGAATATCAGGGTTATAACATTAGCTTTAATTTTTTTTTTTTTTTTAATGTTTTATTTATTTCTAGGAGAGAGAGAGACAGCGTGAGCAGGGGAGGGTCAGAGAGAGAGGGAGTCACAGACTGAAACAGGCTCCAGGCTCTGAGCTGGCAGTCAGCACAGAGCCCGACGCGGGGCCCGAACCCACGAACCGCGAGATCATGACCTAAGTGAAAGTCGGACGCCTAACCGACCAAGCCACCCAGGCGCCCCATCAGGGTTATAACATTAGCTTTAAAGAGCAGGCTTTTATAAGTGTTAGTTTTGACTGTTTTCAGGAAACCATCCCATTGAGAGCGGTAGTTTCCCTGTCAAATTCTGAAGCTGTTGTCTTTAAATCTTCCCTTTTCAATGTGCTGTTTTATTTTTCATTTTTGGTAACCCATCTCTGATTCCTGGTTTTGTCCTTGTGGCGTGAAAGATGGTGAAAGGCACAGACTCAGCCGTTGGGGTAGAAATTGAATTCTAACACTTAAGAGGAAAAGATTGATGAGAAAGAGAATAAGAATTTCTTGGAATCCCATAAGTTTGCCTTTTCCCCAAAGTGGTAAGTGTCGGAAGATTCTTTAGTTTCTATTTCAGATTCAGATCCTTTAACACGTGTATCTTGAAGGCTTTGTCCCTTGAGTTTCAGGGATCTTGGTTAAAGTTTAAGTGAAGGTAGGTTCTTATCCAAAACTTCAGTAGGCTGTGAAAATTAATGATTTTACTTTCTTAATTTTGAGTTATAAGAATAAATCTTAGAGACTGAATTCTCAATTAGATGGAGCCATTTGCGATTCTAGGGTTTGTTTTTGGTCTTTTTTTGCCTGTTGGAACACTTCTTTTAGTATTAATATATGTTTATTGTACAAATAAACATAAAGAAAATTAATGTATTTTCATTCGTTTTTTAATTTTTAAAAATTTTTTTATGTTTTTAAAAATTTATTATTGAGACAGAGAGAAACAGAGCATGAGTGGGGGAGGGGCAGAGAGAGAAGGAGACACAGAATCCGAAACAGGCTCCAGACTCTGAGGTGTCAGCACAGAGCCCAATGTGGGGCTCGAAGCCGTGCACCATGAGATCATGACCTGAGCCGAAGTCGGATGCTTACCCGACTGAGCCACCCAGGTGCTCCTCTTTCAGTTTTTAAAAGGTACCATGAGAGTGGAGAGATGCACGCAATAGGAATGCCAGGGCATTGCCACATCCTAAAGTATATTTCCCAGGTTGAAATCCTATGCAATCTGATAAGTGTACTGCTTTGAGACACTAGTATTTTTCTCCATTTCATGAGATGAAAAGACCTAGGGATGTTTGGTCCAGAAAAATGACAGATTAGGAGGACCATGGGAGTTGTCTTCAAACAGTTGAAGCATTGTCATATTGAAAAAAGGATTTGGCTCCTTTTCTGCAGTCCCAGTGGGTTAAACCTGAGTGTGGAATTTATAGGGAGACAGGTTTCAGTTTGGAGAGAACTGAAGGAAGAACTATCATCCTAGTCAGATCTACTCAGAGAGGGAATGAGTGCATTGGTCCCTGTTGAGGTGTTAGAATATGGGTTGGATGAAAATCTCCTGGGTATGTATGATGGATTCGTATGTTGGATGGAGAATCTTACTAGGTGTGACATCAGGACCCAGCCCACTCTGAATTATTTACCAGGAAATAAGGGTGAGGGGAAGAAACCAGGTGGCCAGTTTAGGGCAAGGGAGGAGAGTGGCAGCCATCTAATAGGATAGGAAAGGGGGACATTGAGGGTCCAGTGTATCTCGCCCATTCATTAGAGTCCTAATTTAAGAATTTAAGAATATGTTGGCTCTCATTTCATAAGATGTTACTCTGCAGAACTTGAGGAATTTTTGGCATGGTCAACAGAGACAATAATTCTGTTTCTGTAACAGTCCTTTGGCTGGAGACATTGAGGCTAAATTACAAGTGTGCAGGTGTGGGTTTTAGGTGGGAACAATAGCTTCTGCCAGTTGATTTGGTTTTCTTTCTAGGTAATTTCAGAATTCTCTCTCATGATTGTTACATTGAACTAAACTTCAGCCATAGTAGGATTTAGGCTGGAACTGTTCTCTTGTTCAGAATGTTTGGATTTGTTTTCTTACCTTCCATTTTCATAGTCATTAAAATGTTTACATGAACAATTTCAGCCTGGAATTCGGTATAGAAAGAAAGCTGAAATTGAGATGTCCTTCTTTTTAACCAGGATCCCAGGTTTCTGGGGAAGGGGATGGTGAAGTGGCTAAGAGTGTGAATTTTCTATGTCAAACCTGGATTTTATTCTTAGCTCTACCGTTCACCATCTTCTATCACTTTTATCACCTTAGATGAGTGACCTAACATCTCTGGGCTTCATTTCTTCATATGTAAAGAGAGTATTTCTCATTGGTTGAATGGAAGCATAAATGAGATAAAATACATAAAAATGTATTTAGTCCATGGTAAGAGCTCAATAAGTGGCAGCTACTTTATTTTTCTGCTCTCAGTAGAGACTTATGTTTGTTATTAGGGATCATCTTGGAATGGACATTGAGTTGAAGTCCTAGTAGTGCAGAATATCTGCTTCCTTGTTAGGGTGTAATTGTGTGAATAATAGAAAATGTCTGAGTAGAGAGTTAATTCCACAGCTCTTAAGAAAAAGAAGAAAGAAACTAGAAAAGAAAAGCAGAAAGGCTTAAAAGGAGTAACAAATACTCCTCTATCTTTATTTCCTCCTTCCTTCCTTCTGAAGAGAGGTTCAGGTAGAAGTTTATAGATTTGGGAATCTTGTACATCAAGACACACAAAGTGGGTGGGGTCGTTGTGGGAGTGAGAAAAGAGAAGGATTGAATATGGATTCTTAGTGGCATAGATCCATATCTTATAGGAAGGAAGGTCAGGGAAGAGATGGAGGACTGTACTTAGTGTAGTGCACAGTACATTGAACCTGTAGTTAGGAGATCTGGGTTTAAATCTCACTTTCTCTGTTTGGGGTTTGTGTGCCTCTAGGCACATCCCTTCCCTGTTGTACAGACTAGACTTTGTTTCCAGTACTCCTTGCATACCTGAGTTTCTCCATTATGAATCTACTTGGAAACAGTAACACGCAAATGGAGGTAGTGGAATGTCCCTGAAACAGGTATTACAAGGAGGAACAATGTCAGACGTCACTGAAGTGAAAGAGATTGAGAACTGGGAAAAAATCAGGGTGTCCAGGAAGCCAATTTGTTTAGAGGGACCAAGAAATATCCGCAGTGTAAGACTTACATGTAATTGCAGCATGTAATGAGAATTATGCCAGGTCCTCTCGCCAACTTTGTAGGTAACATAAATGTTAATAAAACTGCCTGATACAGGAGGAAAAATGTAATCGTGCTTACATCAGTGATCTATAAATTAACCTACTTGAAGAGCTCTTCAGAGTTGAAGGGAATTTTGAGGTAGTCTGTTGCTAGGTGGTGAGACAGCTAAATCTTGTTTCACCTTAGAATTTTAATTGCAGTTCTCACTTGAAATGTTTCGTATGTTTTTTGTAGACCAGCTGTTCCATTATGGATGGAGGGGATGATGGTAATCTTGTTATCAAAAAGAGGTTTGTGTCCGAGGCAGAACTAGATGAACGACGCAAAAGAAGGCAAGAAGAATGGGAGAAAGTTCGAAAACCTGAAGATCCAGAAGGTATATGGGCTTGTAGTTTGGCATTCAGTGTAATGGTCTCTGATCTTCACGGCAGCCCTGCAGAGTAGGCGCTACCCTTTAGAGTAGGGGGAGTAAGGCTCAGGGGGCCAGGGGCCAATGCAAGGCCTCTGTGGCGGGAGCAGAAGCACAGTACGCACTGTCTGTGCCACCATCCTGCCTTCCAGAAGATTCTGCGAGTCTGTTCCATCTTTGCAGGTGGATGCAGGATCTGAAGGACTGAGAATGCTACCGCTGAGTAGGGGTTGGGCTGGCCCCTCACCCAGTTAACCGTCTCAGGCCGGGGGTCCTCCTGACATTGCTGGGTGCCTTTGAGACCTGCCGGCCCCTCTCTGAGGTCCAGAGGGAAACTGTGGACTTTGTACTATTTTTGTGTTATCCTTGCCCTCAGATCACGCAGAGACTTGACTTTATCTTTAAAATCCTTTGCAATTCCAAAATAATGTGAAAAATTCTAAAGTATGTGCCTTTTCTCCCCTTCCCTTTTCTTCCCTCCCCCTTCTTTCAGAATGTCCAGAGGAGGTTTATGACCCTCGGTCTCTATATGAAAGGCTACAAGAGCAGAAAGACAGGAAGCAGCAGGAGTACGAGGAGCAGTTCAAATTCAGTAAGCTTCACTAGCAGTCCCGCACACTCCACAGGGCCTGCTTGATGCCCTTTGGCCTCATGCAGCACTTTTCCTAACTAGCCACGGAACTGGCTTGATTATCTAGTCTCTGGATGTTCATTTGGTGGAAAAGAGGTAACTTGCTGCCTTCCAGACCACATTGAACATTTTTGTTTCGAGCTTGATACCCATCTTAATTCTGTGCTAATGTCTAGTAGTAGAAGAAATACCTTGATTTTCTGCCGTGTTCCCTCTCCAGAAGCCAAGGTGTTTACAAATTCTTTCTTCTAATCCTCTAAAGGATCTGCTGCTTATTAAAAATAAAGAGGAGGAAAAATCTTATTTGACTCTCCCTTTAGCCTGCTAAGTGTTCCTTGTTCAATTATTTCCGCAGAAAACATGGTAAGAGGCTTAGACGAAGATGAGACTAACTTCCTCGATGAGGTTTCCCGGCAGCAGGAGCTTCTAGAAAAGCAACGAAGAGAAGAAGAACTGAAAGAACTGAAGGAATACAGAATATCCTTTATACTTTGGGAGAAATATGTACGGCACCCGTGTCCTCATCAGCGCCTGCGGATTTGAGTTTCTTCACAAATAGAATGAGAATAAGGTTTTCTACCTCGTGACCTCTGAGTTCTCTTTCAACACTGACATTCCTGTGACTGAATGACTGGCGCTGATTTGTGGAGTTAGGTCGCATGCAAGAGTCTGTTGCAATCAAAAGTCCAGATCCCTTAGGATTAACTAAAGGCCTAAATCCTAATAGTACCAGGGTATTTTTGCCTTGTGGGATTAGACTCTGAAACAGATGGGCGATGCAGTAAACTCATCCAGTGGAGAAATTGGCTTCTGAGTTTTGAAAGGAATGTGTAGCAACTCTCCTGTGTCCTTAAAATCTTCCGTAGGGGTGTTCTGTTTCCACAGAGGGGAAAACCGAGAAAACAACAAAGATGACTTTGCTTTGGCTCATTGTTGCCTTTTTGTCATCCACTTGCTTGTCCGAATAGGCATCCCACATGTTACTTGGTGGAGTCCGAATTCTCAGTTCTGTGCCTCACCACCCCTACCCTCCACTCCTCACACTGCCCTCGCCCCCAAGTCTCTTCTTTTTCTGCTCTTTCAGATCTTAGTGACGGCACTTCCGTGCCCCCATGTGCCTGGGCCAATAACTGTTTCCAGAATGTACTCTGCCTCTGTGCACTTCAGCTCTCTGTGCCTCTCAGAACCACCGTGACCAAGTTAGTCTCTGCTTCTTGTCCACAACAGTCCTTTCTCACTGCAGTCAAAAGGAACATTTGAAAACCTACACAGAATCTTGTCACTTTCCTATTTGAAACACTGTGGCCTTTAGACTTAGTCTGTGTTCTTACCAGGCCCTGCATGATTTAGGCCAGCCCATCTTCTGTTGTGTCTTGAACTCACTCTTCTCGTGTTCACTACACTGCAGCCTACTGACCTTCCTTGTGTTCCTCTCGGCCTGAGCTTTGTGATTCCATTTCAAGGCCTTTGTGTTTGTTTTTCTCTGCCTTCAGATTTTCCAAGGCTGGCATTTCACGGCACTTGGGTCTCCGCTCTCCTCTCCCTTCCTCATAGAGGTCTTCTTCCCTCAGCACCCTGTCTCACATTTCACCAAGGCACATCTGTTTGTATGACGTCATTTTTTAACAGTAATTTTCTCTACCTGAAAATCTTAATTTAATTTGCTTCCAAGTTTGTATACTCTTTTTTAAAAAAAATTTTTTTTACATTTATTTTTGAGAGACAGAGAATGAGCAGAGGAAGGGCAGATAGATAAGGAGACACAGAATATGAAACAGGCTCCAGGCTCTGAGCAAACATTCAACACAGAGCCAGATGCGGGGCTCGAACCCACGAACTGTGAAATCATGACCTGAGTCGAAGTCAAATGCTCAACTGACTGAGCCACCTAGGCGCCCCTGTATGCCTCTTTTACTGCTGGAATATAAAAGAAGATTCGTAAGAATAAAGATTTGGTCACCACTGATTTCCCTAGTGCCTGGCATGTAGGTTCTCAGTGTGTGTGTGAACAAATGAATGAATGACTCCCAGGAGAGGTTAATAAAGCCAGCTTGGCTTTCTTCCTGTGAGAAGGCTCATTTGAATATTTCAAGCTTATATGTTGAAAAACCACTCTGGCATGATTGAGCAGGCTTTACCTCTAAAGTTAGTGATATGACTGCATGTGTGTGCTAGTTGGTAGTTTTTAATTTTTTTAAACATTTATTATTGAGAGACAGAAAGAGGCAGAGCATGAGCATGGGAAGGGCAGAGAGAGGGGGAGACACAGAACCTGAAGCAGGCTTCAGGCTCTGAGCTGTCAGCACAGAGCCTGACGCGGGGCTCGAACTCACAAACCGTCAGATCATGACCTGAGCTGAAGTCGACACTTCACCATCTGAGCCACCCAGGTGCCCCACTACTTGGTAGTTTTTGCAGGGAACGTGCAGTAGATTCCGTTAAAGAGCTATGTAGGAACAAATGTGGACTGATTCCCAGGGATTTGGTTTAAATCAAGGTGACTGACAACAATTGAGATACAGTAGCAGCTTGGTGCCACGAAACCCGCTCTGAACTGGTGGTGAAAGCCCTGGCTTCCAGTCCCAGGTTTCCTAGTGGCATTCTGGTGTGACGTTTAAGATCGGAGGTGATGGAAAGTCACACCTCAATCCCAGCTGCAAGATCGAAGCTGACTCTTCTGGGAGCTCCCCTCCTCCCTGCCTTGCTTGGCGGCCACAGAAGAATACTGTGCATTGAGGTTTGTAGAGGTGGGCAGATGGAGTACGTCGTGGATTGTGTCAGGCACCAGACTTTTTCCTCTAAGGGAATACATTAATTACAGTGATCATTAGAATTATGTCTTGTTTTATGTGCTTAATTTGGCAGGCTAGCAAAAAAGAGCGTTTCCCAAAGCAGCATTCTGGAGAGGGATGTTGGTTTGGCAGGAGTGCGCAAAGCCCTCCAGTTTGCAGTTCAAAGGGAAGAATGAACAGGGCAGCAGAAAGGTGAAAAGAAACTTTCCTGCCCTGCTAACAATACAGGACAACATTGGAGAGGCCCAGAGGTATTGGCTTCTGTTGGAAACTTGGTAAGTTCCAACTGTCTAGGTAAACTAAGAAAAGCAAGCCTTCCAACCCACTGATGTATAGAGTACACTAATCCCTAGCATGGGTGCAGCCGGAGACATGTTGAGTTAGGAACTGAAGGATTAGACTTTTGTTTATTGAAGCTCTAAGTCAGGGGCAGGTTCTTGACTTTGCTTGATTGTTACACTAGGAGACATTTTATAATGTGATCCTTGTAAAGACATAAACTGTGGTTTGTGCCACATAAACAATAGAACTCTTGTTTTCTTCAGATTAAACCAGTACTTAACAATATTATATATGTTTAAAAAGCATGTAATTTAAAAAAAATGCCTTGTCTAATGAATTCCTTGAGTTTTGAGGTGTGCTTGTGTATTTAGAGCATTTTAGAGAGAGAGGAACTTAAGGGGAAAAATGGCTTATGTGTGGGCTATGGATCAAAAGTACTATTATTCTCCACCCCACTCCCCCCAAAAAAGAAAAGGTTGGAGGGTCTTTTTTCGCTTATTTATTTAAAAAAAGTTTTTTTATTGTAGAGCATAAGCTAGGGAGAGGGGCGTAAGGGGAGAGAGAATCCCAAGCAGGCTCCACGCTCAGCTTGGAGGCCCATGTGGGGCTCAATCCCATGATCATGAGATCATGACCTGAGCTGAAATCAAGAGTTGGACACCCAACTGACTGAGCCACCCTGCCACCCCAGCTTTTTTTTCACTTTAAAAGAGTAAAAAGTGAAGTGTTGGTTTTTGTCTGTGTCCTAGTATTATAAATATGTGTGTTTTGTTGTTAAGTTTTTCCATTTTTGTTTTATTTTTCAATATTAAGAGTTTATCCCTTGGTGCCTAGGTGACTCAGTCAACTTCGGCTCATGGGTTCAAGCAGTTCATACCAAAAAAAAAGTTTATCCCTTAATGATGAAGTTGTAGGTAAAAATCATGCTGGTGGTTTTTGGCATTTGGTACTAGAAAGATGAAATCTGATTCTTTTTTATTCTAAAAGGCCATACACATAATATTAACATACAATCAGTTTCCATATTGACTTTGAAACATTTAAATTGATGAAACTCAGAGCACTAGAGTATTTTCTGTAATCTCCATTGAATACCGCAAATATTTAAGGTAACTGGTGCTTGTAAGAACAGAGTGAGCGCCTGAAGAGTGATCAGAATTAGAATTTACTTATTTCTGGTACCCAGTTTTCTCCAGGATTTACAGACCATATACATGCCCCTCTGCCTCCTGCTTTGAGCAGGAGCTGCTTAGATTTTTTTTGGTCACTAGATGTCAGTATTGTTCAGGTAGGGCACTGCTGCCTCTTAAATAAAGAATTGCACCATGTCTGACACAAATCTGTTGCCTAATGGGTTGTGAGAGTATGAAAGGGAAGGAGGGGGAGAGGCTGGCGGAGAGAACAAAAGAAAGTGCCAAACCTTGACAGCCAGAGATTGACGTCAAGCCTGCAAGAAGTGATGTTACAAGTGAATTGGTTGTGCTCTTAAGAACGTTTTGGTTCTTGTGTTGTATGCGCACTGGGGTTTTTCATTAAAATCACCTTGATGAGAGTATTTAAAACAGTTTCTTGGGCCTCTGGAGGCCCTTACTCAGCAAGTTTGGGACAGGGGTGGGAGGCTTGTTTTTTGTTTTTTTTAATTTTTTTAAAATGTCTTATTTATTTCTGAGAGAGAGAGAGACCGCATGAGCAGGGGAAGGTCAGAGAAAGAGGGAGACACAGAATCTGAAGCAGGCCCCAGGCTCTGGGCTAGCTGAGAGCACAGAGCCCGATGTGGGCCTCAAACCCATGAACTGCGAGATTGTGACCTGAGCCAAAGTCGGACGCTTAACTGACTGAGACACCCAGGCACCCCAGGACGCTTGTTTTTTTAATGAGGCTTAAGGTGATCCTGATGCTGTCTTGCACCAGCAGAGTAGGAGTTGGTCTCTATGATGTCCACGATTGAATGCCATTGATCACAGGAAATTCTGCAAGATTTGATTTTACCCTTGGGGGAAGAAAGCAAATATTAAAAAATTGGTGGGAAGCCACATTTTTTTCTGTCACATTTATATTTCTTTTTTTTTTTTTTAATGTCTTTGAGAGCAAGCGAGTAGGAGAGGGGCAGAGAGAGAGGGAGACACAGAATCCGAAGACAGGCTCCAGACTCTGAGCTAGCTGAGAGCACAGAGCCCAACGTGGGGCTCGAACCGTGAGATCATGACCTGAGCCGAAGTCGGACACCCAACCGACTGAGCCACCCAGGCGCCCCATCACATTTATATTTCTTAAGATCTTTGTTTTCCCCAGCACGCATGATGTTGGCCATATCTTTGGGGAGGTTTACTGACCATAACTCAGATTTTCACGGAGGGTCAGGGGAAGAGTTTGCTTTTTGGTATTATATTGGGCTTGATTTCCCTTCTCCCTCTGCGGTCACCTTCATTTCTCTTTAAATCAGCTGGATGTGACTGGCAGAATAAAGAGGAGAGGCATTATTTGAATATAAGTGGGCTAAACATTACACGGCACAGCTGAAGTGCTAGTAGATTATGCGTGTCTGTCTTCTCTGGATTTACCCGTGTCCTGCCATTGCTCTTCTTTTTGCCTAGTTTGACCCTTAACCTACAGCACAGTAATCTCAACAAAGTTGGAATTTCTCCAGAAAATAAGAAGGAGGTGGAGAAGAAAGTGGCTGTGAAATCCATAGAAACCAAGAACAAGTTCTCCCAGGCAAAGCTGTTGGCCGGAGCTGTGAAACATAAGAGGTCAGCCAGCTCTCACACGAATCTCCCTGTGACTGTACTCGGAGGCGCCACCGTAATGGTAGCCTGAGCACCTCAGCGGAAGTCTTGGTGACATTTCTTTGGTAGCCTTACCTCTCTCTGCCCCTCCAGATTTGGTTGTCTTCTGTAGCCTTTGACCCTTGTCTCTCGGGTTGTTCATTCAACAGAATGATAGCTCCTCCTCATTGGGTACCTGTCATATGCCAGGCATCTTGTTAAATACTTTCCAGCAATGATCTGACCCTTTACACAAGTCTATGAAGTATAAGTTTGATGGGTAGAGAACATTGTCCAAGGTTACAGAGTAACAGAGGCGGAGCTCAATATTTGAACATCTGTTTCTAGGCAAATGAGGTAGCACGTCCTGTGAAAAGATTTGGGTAGGATGTAATGAGAGCCAGGAGGAGGAAACAACTCACTGGAGAGGGCATGTGAGCTCAGGTCCGGGGAGGTAGGGAAGGCAGTAGAGGGAGATGTGGATTACGTAGAACAAGTAGGGCTTTGGCAGACAAGGGAGAGGAGAAATCCCGGGCAGCGGGAGCAGCTGCCGCAAAGGCACTGTGGCCTGTGAGGCCATGGAAGCTGGGACAGTTACAGCCCTGGCTGGGGTTCTGCTGATGTGGGGCGGCAGCACTGCCTGGAGGTTGTGACAAGTCCTGTCTTCAGTTTGCTCCTCCCTTTCTAAATCTTGAAATGGCACCGAAGTGATTAAATCTGGCCATTTCAGTCTGACCCACCATACCATGGGCGAAATAACGTTAAGTTCAAGTGCAGTCTATTAGGAAAATCAATATGGCATAATGGCAACCAGCCACATGTTTTCAAGGGAGTGCATTGATGCACTCTTGCGGTTTGGTGCCCCGTCCATCTGCCGCGGATGTTCCTGGGACATGGCTTAACGTCTGAAACTGTCGTCAGGGTTTAGCAGTGGAGGGGAGGAGAGCAGTAACTGGAAAGGGCCAGTTAACCTGAGCCATGAATTATAAACTTTCATGCCTTGCCCAGTGTCTTTCAGGATTTGGCCCCGGGTCAGCTTTGCTGGGCTTCACCAAGAAGGGGCTCTCTGGGTGGGCAGTTAGATACCTCTGAGCAGTGTCTTGCTGCTAGCAGAATGGGTGTTATAACCATCTCTCTTCCTTAGTCCTTAGGTCACCTTTTATTAGATCCTTGTTTATTGTTGTTTTGTGGCAAGATGATAAATGAGTCTCCTGGGGGCAGGAGTTCCTAATCTACCCAGCCCTGGGTTTGTTAGACTCACCTGGGAGTTTGTTAATGCGGCTTCTAGGCCTTTCATTAATTCTGGTTCATTACGTTTGAAGTGAGGTCTGGGAGTCCAGTTGTTAAAGTTCTGCAGGTGGTTCTGATGCTTGTGAAAGCCTGGTGCCTGGTGTGTGCCCAGGACCCTGTCAGCAGAACTGAGTCCGCCGGTGTGCTCCCTCGCCACTGCTCTTCCTGCCTTGCCACCCTCACACCACATTCCCAAGTCTGGTTCATCAGATTTTTGCCTTTCTTTACTTTTAGTAGTTCCTGCATGCTTGTGGGGAGGGAGGAGTGCGGGGGTTGTTTGTGTTTGTTCTTGTTTTGGCTACCTGTATACGTATTCATAAACAGTATTTAGCTTGTTTTTGAACTTCATAAAAATGATTTCGTTCTGTATATGATCTTCTGCAGATTTGGTTTTTCACTCAAATCGTTTCTGTGATTGAAACAGTTTTGTGTGTGTGTTCATGTATATATAGCTGTAATTCATTTCACTGTCGTGTAATGGTGCTTTATGAGATACCAAATGCTTGAACTGTGACAAATGGTGCTGATAGGTCCGGGATGTGCCTTGTTACGTATGTGCAGAAGTTTCTCCAGAGCTACGCCGTTCAGTATGGTAGCCCTTGGCCACCTGTGACTGTCAACATCTAAACTAATTAAAACTAAAATTTTCAGGGCGCCTGGTGGCTCAGTCAATTGAGTGTCCAGCTTCAGCTCAGGTCATGATCTGACGGTTCATGGGTTTGAGCCCTGTGCTCTGTGCTGACAGCTAGCTCAGAGCCTGGAGCCTGCTTCGGATTCTGTGTCTCCCGCTCTCTCTGCCCCTCCCCTGCTCACGCTGTCTCTCTCTCAAAAAAAAATAAATAAATAAAATAAAATAAATAAAACATTAAAAAAAAATAAAGGAACTTTGCCACTTAGCATTTAAAAATTTTTTTTAAAAACCCTAAAATTTTCAGTCCAGTTCCTTAGTCACCCTAGTCACATTTCAGATGTTAAAGAGCCACAGATGGCTAACTGCTGCCCTCCTGGACAGCACCGGTACCGTGATGTGGTTTTGTAAATGTGTTCCCTTGCGGTCTTCATTTGCATTTCCTATTAACAGATATAGTTGACGTATTTCATATGTTCATTTGCCATTCATGTGTCCTCTTATATGGTAGGCCTATTCAAATATTTTGCCATTTTTCTACTGGGTTATTTGTATTTATCTTAATGATTTGTAGGTGTGTTTTGTTTGTTTTTAAAGATTTTTTTTTTAAATGTTTTATTTATTTCTAGGAGAGAGAGAGAGAGAGACAGCGTGAGCAGGGGAGGGTCAGAGAGAGAGGGAGATACAGACTCTGAAATAGGCTCCAGGCTCTGAGCTGGCAGTCAGCACAGAGCCCGTCGCGGGGCTCGAACCCACGAACCGTGAGATCATGACCTAAGCAAAAGTCGGACGCTTAACTGACTAAGCCACCCAGGCGCCCCGTGTTTTGTTTGTTTTTAAATACAGTCCTGACATTTCCCCCCACAGCTTACAGCTTTTCTTTTTACTTTCCTTAATTTTAAGGTGGTTGGTTTTTAAATTCTAAGGCAGTCAGACATAATTGATTTCAGGTATGTAGCATGATTTGATAAATATATGTATTGTGAAATTATCACAATAAATCTAATATCCGTCACCATACTTATTTACCCATTTTATTTTTCTTGTGATGAGAACTTCTAAGACCTACTCTTAGCAACTTTAAAATTACAATAGAGTTTTGCTAACTACAGTCACCATGCTACACGTTGCAACCCATGACTTACTTTATAACTGGAAGTGTGTACTTTTTGAAGATAGTCAATTTTTTTAAAAGTTTATTTATTTTAGAGAGAGAGAATGCAAGCAAGGAAGGGGCAGAGAGAGAGAGAGAGAGAGAAAGAATCCCAAGCAGGCTCCACACCATCAGCACAGAGCCCAATAAGGGGCTCGAACCCACCAAACATGAGCTCATGACTTGAGCCGAGACCAAGAGTTGGATGCTTAACTGACTGAGCCACCCAGGTGCCCCTGAAATTGATTTTTTTGAAGGTATGAGCTAGGGATCCCTTTTTAACTTTTTTTCTTCAAATGAGAAGCTAATTTTCTAGCAGCATTTAGTACATACTACTGCCTTTCCCCAGTGCTCTTCAGTGTTACCTCTGTCTTAAAACAAGTTTCCAGACATTTATGGCTTTGTTTGGGAGTTTCGTTTTTGTGTTTGCTTTTTCTTTTTCTTCTTCTGTCCCTTGAATCTGTTGGGCCAGTACCACAGTGTAATTATTGTCGTTGTATAAGTAATTTTGATACCTGGTGGGGCAAGTCCCCTTACACTTTTCTCAGGGATGTCTTGTCTATTGTTGGCCACTGTGGTCTTCCATATACATTTTAGAGTTAGACTTAATTTTTTAAGTTTATTTTTATTTATTTTGAGAGAGAGTGTGAACAAGTGGGGGAAGAGCAGAGAGAGGAGACAGAATCCCAAGTGGGTTCCACACTATCTGCTCAGAGCCTGATGTGGGGCTCACACTCTGGAACCCGTGAGGTCATGACCTGAGCCAGAGAGTCAGATGATTAACTGAGCCACCCAGGTGCCCCTAGATTTAAATTTTAGATTAAGTTCTTTAAATTTCTTGGAATCTTATTAAGTGGTTGATAAACTTATGGAGGGAACAGATCTTTATGGATAAGTCTTTTTCTACACATGATATATATACGTTTGTTTCCTTTAATGTCATTCAATAAAGTCTTAAAGTTATTTTTCAAAAGGTAAAGGCTGTGCACATCTTTTGTTAGATTATTCCCAGGTGTTTTTTTTTTTTTTAATAACTTTTTTGTTGCTAGTTTGTAAAAAATGCAACCAGTTTTGGAGTATTTACATCTAGCCACTTAGTTCTTATTAACCTTAACAGTAACTCTTTAATAACTCTCAGTAACTTAAATGTTTTATTTATTTATATTTTTTAAATGTTTTCCTTTATTTTTGAGAGACAGCCTGTGCATGCAAATGGGGGGAGGGGGGAGGGAGGGGACAGAGGCTCCAAAGCAGTCCTATGCTGAGACCAGACAGCCCGATAATGGGGCTTACACTCTTCAACCATGAGATCATGCCCTGAGTCCAAGTCTGACGCTTAACCAGTTGAACCACCCAGGTGCCCCTAATAATTTTTTTAATTTATATTTTTAAATGTTTGTTTATTTTGAGAGAGAGAGAGCACGTGAGCAGGGGAGGGGCAGAGAGAGAGGGAGAGAGAATCCCAAGCAGGCTCCACACTGTCAGCACAGAGCCCACTTCAAGGTTGCTGTTACTATTTTTTTTTTTGAGACAGCGCACAAGTAGGGGAGGAGGCAGAGGGAGAAGGAGAGGGAGAAGCAGAATCCCAAGTTCACAACTGTGAGGTCATGACCTGAGCCAAAATCAAGAGTCAGATGCTCAACGGACTGAGCCATTCAAGTGCCCCAGTATTTTTTATTTTTCTGATTGCTACTGTATCTGTAATTGTGCCCTTTTTCATCCCATATATTGATGGATTGTGTTTTCTTATTTTGGCTGGTTTCTTAATTTCTATCTTCTTTCTCTGGGGTATTCTTTAAAGTTTATTCTTTTATAATTTCTGTTATACATGAGTGTCAGATACCTAGCTAATTAATTTTTAGCTTTTCTTTTCAGTTATAAGCACCTAAAAGTCTAAATCTTACTCAGCTTTCACTGTATACAATTTTGTATTTCCAACTAAGTATTTTTAAATACCTATTTTGATTTCTTCTTTGACTCCTGATTTAGAAACATTTTTTAAAGTTTCCAAACATACTCAAGTAACTCAACTATATTTCATAGGTCTAAGATGAAGCTCTCCCCCCCCCATTTTAACACCTTATAATCAGTGGTATCTTAAAATCTATGGTATATAATATTTTATCTTTTGTTGAGATCTATCTTAATTGCATGTGATTTATACTTGCTTTGTGACCTATTCCTAAGGTCACAAATAAAATAAAAATATTTAATCGAGAGAGAGAGAGAGAGAGAGACAGACAAAGCAGGAGTGGGAGGAGGGACAGAGAGAGAGGGAGATAGAATCTGAACAGGCTTCAGGCTCTGTAATTTTCTGGGTTGTGTGCCAGGAACCCCAAACAAGCTGGTTAATTGAATTGTTTATATCTTCTGTTTCTTTACATTTTTGTCTGCTTGCTCTGTCCTTACCTAAGTATTTTGAAATCTCCCACTATAGTGATGATTTCCTGATTTTTCTTCAGGGTTCTGTTGAATGTTTATTTTAAGCTCTCTAATTAGAAGCATACAGGTTCAGAATTATCATTTGTTCATAGTGAATTAAACTTTGTTTCATTACAAACTGACCTACTTTACCTCTTGTCACGTTTTTGGTCTTAAAGTCCATGTTCCTAATATTATACCAGGCAGCTCAGCCGTCTTTGGGTTTTGCCTTGGCTGCTCTTGCTGTTCTTTTGCTTTCAATCTTTCTGGGTCTTGTTTGTTTTTGGTTTCCTTTTGTTAAGCCTTTTGGCAGGTCTCATAAATATCTGATTTTAAATTGAGTATGTTAATCTCTTTTTACGGGCAGGCTTGGATTTGTTAGGATTTTTAATACAGTTTCTGCTGTCTTACTATTTTTTGTCTTTTTACATAAAAGATATTTTTTCCTTGTATTTTTAAAAAATTAATTATGATTTTTAAAACTTTATTTGTTTTCTTTCTACTAGTTTGGGTTTATGTAGTGTTTCTGTTCTTTTGGTGGCTACCCTTGCAACTTAGCGGGAGTACTTAGCACAGCCTAAAATTAAATAGCTATCTTCCTTTCCTGCAAAATTACACATGGACCGTAGACCTTTGAGCTATAATCACCTCTTCCTTACATGCTTCCACTCTCCAGGGTTTGAGTATGGTCATGTTTAACACCACAAATTAGATTGTATTTGCCGGTTTCTTTGTTCACTGTCCCTTCCTTCTGTGGTTAAGGCCTTCTTTCTGGGATCATTTCTTTTTTTCTTTTTTCGACTGCCCTAAGTATTAGCAGTAACGGTGGAGCTTGGGGTGTTGTGCCTTCGCTAATCTACACAGCAAAGGAAGCACATTCTCTAGACAGTCTTTCAGTGAAGGTCTTTGGGGTGACTTTCAGACTCTCTAAGAGGTCACTAAAGGAGAGATTTCCTTTAATCTTTAAGAACTTAAATAAAATTTCATCATGTATGAAAGTGTCCAGATATTCTCAAAATCCGTCTGTGGTTCTAACAAGATGAATGAGAAGGACAACAAAGAATCTGAAGTTTAGGTGATGCCTGAAGGTCTAATGCTTCACCCCTTGAACTAGCCAGGGGTTTACGTTGTCCTTATAACAATAATGTAACTGGAAGGAGATTCAGAACCTGAAATGAAGACTTTTCATTTCAGATCATCCCAGTTCTTTGGGGCTACCTAAGACCCATATAAATGGTTATTGGAACTCCTGATTCCCAAAGTTTTCATCCCCATGATTGGACATAGCTCAGATTGCCATGTTTTTGGTTACAGCTCAGAGAGCGGGAACAGCGTGAAAAGACTGAAGTCGGACACCGACCCAGATGACAAGAGTCAAGGTAGAGTGGCAGCTTTCGTTTCACTGTTTACTTGTAATGCACATGAACCATAGTACAGGGCTGGACCGCAGCACCTCTGTGAAGGAATGCATGGGTCTCTAAGCAAGCCTATCTGAACTTAGTTTACCAAACTGTTTCCTACCAGGCAAGATTAATACCCAAGAGTGTATGTCAGTTTCCCTGCCAAGCAGTATGTTAGAAACCAGTGGAACTGATAAATGACCATTGTGCTCTCCCAGAAGTGCTTACAAAACCAAAGCCCAGGTCCTATCACTTCTGCTCTCGAAGGGTTTTTCTCCATCTCCCCCAAATGTCAAGTTTCTTGATTTCACCTGGCTGGCTGCCATTGAGCGGTAGAATGCCTGGCTCTTGCTGGTGGTTGGATTGGATTGAACCTGGAAGCTTAATACAGTCTCCAGAAGTACACTTTCTGGTGGTTACTTCTGTGCAATCGAATCTGGCACTGTGTTAAGTGGCACAGAGTTGTAAGCAAAGGTGAGTGTTCCTGAGGGGCTGGGTGGGGGATAAGAAGTCCAAGAGCGTTTTTAGTTTTACCCCTCACTCCCTGTGGGATTGAGACTCTGCGCTAAACTCAGTGGGTCATTTCTAAAATAGGGCTTACAGTGATTTCTCCCTCAAAAGTTAATGGATATTTAAAAATGTATATCTCCTGAGCACCAGTAATGGTGAGCTGTTGCTGATAACATTTTGCTCTATAATTTACTTTTAAGAAGGACATTGAGTGAAGAGTCTTCTTTCTGCATATATATCTTCATTTCTGCTTCCCAGAGGGAAACAGTATTATATGTTTCTTATGTGTATATCCAGAGCTATTTGGTGTCTGTATAAGCAGTTACAAATATATGCTTTTAAAATTAAAAAAAAAATGTTTAATGTAGGGGCGCCTAGGTGGCTCGTTCGGTTAAGCGCCCGACTTTGGCTCAGGTCATGATCTTGAGGTTTGTGGGTTTGATCCCTGCATTGGGCTCTGTGCTGACAGCTCAGAGCCTGGAGCCTACTTTGGATTCTGTGCCCCTCTCTGCCCCACCCCTGCTCATGCTCTGTCTTTAAATAATAAATAAACGTTAAAAATTTTTTTTAATGCTTATGGTAGATAACTTAAAACATCTCAATATTCAAACATTGAGATAATAATAAACCCTATCATGTAGCTTCAACATTTTTTAACACCTATATCACATATAAATCTTATTTATACGTCCTCAACTATAGTGTTTTGAGGCAAATATCAGACATTATATTGTTTCATCCATAATTCTTCTGTATGTATCACTAGAAAATAAGGGCTCTTTGTTTTTTTGACATCACAGTAATCTCTAATATCAGATAGCATATTAGTATTCATTTTCCCCAATTTTCTCATAATTTTTTTTGACAGTTGGTTTTTTATTTTTATTTTTTTAAAGTATGTTTATTTTTGAACGAGAGAGAGACAGAGCAGGGGCTTGAATTCACAAACCACAAGATCATGACCTGAGCCAAAGTCAGATGCTCAACCGACTGAGCCACCCAGGAACCCCATTGGTAACTGTTTTTTTAAAAATCAGGATCCAAGCAAGGATCGACATGTATTGTATTTGGCCTATATGGCTTAAAAAAAAAATCAAGATATAATTCACATGCCATAAAATTCATTCTTTTTAAAGAAGCACAATTCAATGATTTTTTTCATGAGTTCACAAAAATGTGTATTCATCACCACTGTTTAAATCCAAAATGTTTTCATCACCCCAAAAAGAGGCCCCATGCCCATTAACAGTTACTTCCTATTCTTCCCTCTCTCTAGCCACTGGCAACCAGTCTTCTGCTGTTTTCTCTCTGAGGATGTGCCTTTTCTGGACATTTCCTATAAATGAAATCATGCCATCTATGTATGGCCTTCTGCGTCCAGTTTCTTTTCACTTGTTTACAAAGGTCGTCCATGTGGTAGCACGTATCGGGACTTTTCATAGCTGAATACTGTTCTGTTGTGTGGTGTGTTGCATTTTGCTTGTCAAGTCATCAGTTGATGGGCATTTGGGTTGTTCACGATTTTTGGCTACTCCGAATGATGCTGCTAACAACATTTGTGTACAAGTTTTTGTGCAACCAACTGATTTCAGTTCTTTTGTGTATATACCTGGGAATGGAATTTCTAGGTCGTATGGTACCTCTGTGTTTATGTGGTTAACTTTTTGAGGAATGCCATATTGTTTTCCAAAGCACCGGCACCATTTTTACATTCTACCAGCAGTATGTGAAGGTTCCAATTTCTTTATATCTTCATCAGCACTTGTTATTGTCTTTTTTTATTTTGTTTATCTTTGTGGGTGTGAAGAATTTCATTTCCCTAATGACTAATGGTGTTGGTATCATGTACTTATTGGTCATTTGTATATCTTCTTTGGAGAAATATTTACTCAAATCCTGAGCCTATTTTTAAATTAGGTTACTTGTCTTTTAATTGTTAAGTTGAAAGAGTTCTTTATATATTCTGGTTACTAGACACTTGTCAGATATATGATTTACAGATACTTAATGTGAGTTATATTTTTATTGATAGAGTCCTTTGGAGCAAAACAATTTTAAATTTTGATGACATCTGGTTTATCTATTTTTTTCTTTGGTTGCTTGTGCTTTAGGTGTCATATCTAAGAAACCATTGCCTAATCCACGGCCATGAACACTTAGACCTATGTGTTCTTCTAAAAGTTTTATGGCTGTAACGCTTATATTTTGGTTTCTGATCCATTTTGAGGTAATTTTCGTATATGGTTTGAAGTAGGGATTCATTTTCATTCTGTGTATGTATCCAGTTGGCCCAGCACCGCTTGTTGAAAAGACTATTTTTTCCAGACTGATTTGCCATGGCACTTTTGTTGAAAGTCAGTTGACCAACATGTATGGGTTTATTTCTGGCCTCTAGTCTCTTCTGTTGATCTGTTATGTCTAACCTTAAACCATTACCACACAGTCTTGATCACTATAGCTTTGTAGCAAGTTCTGAAATTAGGAAGTGAGAGTCCTCCAACTTTGTTCTCTTTCAGGATCATTTAGATATTTTAGGTCTCTTGCGTTTCCATATGAATTTTGGGATCAGCTCATCAATTTCAATAAAAATGGCAGTTGGGATTTTAATAGGGATCACCTGAATTTGTAGGTCAGTCTGGGAATATTGCCATCAGTTAGCATCTTAACAATAGGCTAGTGTGCCTTTTGTCTCATTTGGTTTATAGGTTCTTCTTTCATGTTTATTTTTTGCTTCCTTTGTTTTTATGAAGAAACTGGGTCTCTTTGTCCTGTGGAGTTTCCCATGTTCTAGATCTTGTTGATTGTATCTCCATGGTGTTCCTCTATTCTTGTGTTTACTGTAAAAATGGTAACTAGATCTAGAGCTTGATCAATTCAAGTGTTTTGGCAAGAATACCTCATATGTTATTTTGTACTTCCTGTCGTCATTGTCATTATTTTACTTAACATACTCCTCTGCTCATTGCTTAATTCACCTGTAGAACCTTGGGAATCATTGCATAATTGTACATAAAGAGCTTCATTCCTTTTTTAGACTATGTAGTAAAGTATTCTGTTATATGGTTGCAACATAGTATATTTTTCTATTTTTTATGATGGACATTTCTCTTGCTTCCATTCTTTCTCTGTCATGATGTTTTAATAAAAACTTTGTACATGCAAAGTACATAGGTATACATTTTTCACACCTATGATATGTTAGGTTAAATACTTAAAAGAATTATTGGGACAGAGAAGATACACATTTGTAATTCTGATAAATACTGTAAAATTGCCCTGCAAAGAAGTTATCCCAGTTTACATTCCCATCAGCAATATAGGAAATATAGGACTTCCATTTCACAGATATCTTTTTAATATGTAGGAAATTTGCTAATCTGGCTACGTAAATAGGATTAAGTGTATACCATGGGTATATACACGTGCACATGTTGTGCCCTAATCGTGAGTCCCCTGACACCCTTAAGGAGCCGTCACCGATGCAAGTACATAAGGGTCTTTATTAAAAGCTCCAGCAGGGGCGCCTGGGTGGCTTAGTCGGTTAAGCGTGACTTTCGCTTAGGTCATGATCTCGCGGTTCGTGGGTTCGAGCCCCGCGTCGGGCTCTGTGCTGACTGCCAGCTCAGAGCCTGGAGCCTGTTTCAGTCTGTGACTCCCTCTCTCT